CACGCTCTCCCAAACATAATTGGTAATACATGCAAATTAACATGAATTGTTGTAGAAATGAACTGTCGACGAAATGAACTGTCTGACAAAATGAACTTTCGACGAAATGATTGTCGATGAAGTGAATTTTTTCTAATATTTTGGGGGGGGGGGGCAATTACGAGACTAATATTACGTGGATTTTTTATGTCGGTGGTGAATTTTCTGCTGACAATAGTAATTTGGTTTTAATAAAGTCATGATACAAGAAGTATTCTAAATAACAAGAGATTTTTATATTACGAAGTTTCCAAATCTTGGACAAAAAAATTTAATATTAAGTTATTACCGGTATCGTATACTACCATCGGAATTGACCAGAGCATTAAAATTCACTATATATATACTTGAATGGAATTTGAAGAGTGGGCGTTACAAATTTTATAATGCTAATACTCATAGCAACAATTAATTTGTAATGAATAAATAAATATACATGTGGAAAAAAAAAATTTTTAAATATAATAAAATAAATTCATTACATTATTATTAACAATTAAAAATATATAAAAAATGGATTCGTTATATTATTAAGAATTACATGGATAAATAAATGAATCATTCCTATTGATCACCTACCTAAATACCTACCAATAATGTTTACTTATATTATATTATATATTTCCAATTTTTTTCTTCCATAAAAATAATTTAAAATGTAAAGGGGTCTGTAATAATATAATATTGTTATTGATTGGGATTAGTATTTATTTGTTGTAGTTATGGGTGATGACATTAGATTGGTGCTAGTTCCATTTACAATCGATTGCTGTTGTTTTTTTGTTTTGAGCGTTGGTTGAGGTCGATGAGTATCTACGGCATCTATATCAACTTTATATCTATCTTCGTTACATTCGTATGCTTTAGGTGTTAATTTGATAACACTATGTAAAGGAATTCTGACGTATGGTAAATCTTTTTGTGGTAAATTATGAAAATATGCATAGATACAACGAAGAATTGCTTGATGTCCAATTATTAAAATGTTTTGTTGTCTTTCTAATTCCATTATCACTGGTTCGAGTCGAAGTACAACATCTCTATAGGACTATTTATTAATTAATTAGATTAATATTAATGGTAATATTAATAGTAATAGCAATGGTTATCATTATGATATGCTTACTTCACCGCCACAATATCTATAACTAAATTTATCTTCATCTCGATTAGCATAATCTTCGGGATATCTTTTCTATACATTCATTCAAAACATGTACATATATATATATATAATATAATGCAATATCATATATATTTGAATTTATAATTATCACAGATATTAATATATATTAAATTTTTTTTTTTTTTTTGCTTTAAAGTCCAAGAAAATAATTTTTAAACCTCAATTTCTTCATATGTCAAACCATCACAAACACCAGCATCTAATTCATCCAATGATTTCCATTTTAATTTTGGATATGGTAAATATTCACTGGTTTGTATTGTACGTTTCATAGTTGATGTCCACACCTGAAAAATAAATAAATCAATAATGATTATTAATAAGTCATTGAATAATCATCAAATAATGGTAACACATACTGTTAAAGGCTGATCTCCTAGGTTCTCTTGGATAAGTTTTGGTAATGCTTTAGCATATTTACGACCACGAGGCGATAAATCAGAATCACCACCAATTTTCCCCACAAGATTGTACATACTTTCTCCATGCTAATAATTAATTATTTATGTATCATTATTATTATTATTATTATTATTATTATTATTATTATTATTATTATTAAGTATAAACGAGTCCTCTTCAATTGACAAATAATAATTATTGATTGATCCACCTGACACATTAATATAATTCTTACAAATAATCCAATTTATTATCAATCAATCTAGCTATTTAAATTTAAACATAATACTAACCCTAGAAAAGAAAATACTTCTTGGCAAAATGTGTAAATTCATCAAATAATAAACCACTCGACTTTGAAGATAACCTTGAATCCTATTGATTACAACTTGGCTTCCAACATTAATAAGTTTCAAGTATGTAAGATCTTTTTCTGTGATGGTTTCGTATGCCTCCTCATAATGCAATATTCTAGCCTTAAAATCCTCTGCTGCCTTTTCAGGATCCATATTTTTATAGTCAGGAGATGATAATTTAACATCCATAATGTTTTGAATAATTAGATCCTCATCTTGACATATTGATTCAATGAACATCACTTGAATATTGTTTTTTTTACAAGTTTCCAAAACAAATTCACGCCGATCACGAGTAGAATTTGTAGCATCAAATATTGCCACTACACCATTCTCCTTCTCAAACCATCTAATCATATCATTCAACGCCTCGGTTGCTGCCTCTTTACGTGCAATCTCTCCAGCTTGATTTTTTGGATCAAAAAATGAATGTGCTTGTTGTGATCCGTGTAATTTACGACGATAATTACCAACATTAAAAACTTTTGTTGGAATACTAAGCCATTTAAAATATCGACACACTGTAAATATAATTTAGATTAAAATTTTTTATCCCTCAAAAAAAAAAAACTTTTAAATAATGATTATCAATACCTATTATAAAAAAATAATTATAATAATAAAAATAAATAATTATAATATCTTATAATACTTACGTTTTTGGGAAATATAAGTTTTTCCTCGTGCGGGAAGCCCAACCATCTAATTATCATTATTATCATTATCATGAGTATATGTCATATATACCCACCCACACACAAGAAATGAAAAAATTGAAATGAAATAATAATAAATGATTTATTTGAATATTGCATACATATACAATATATGAATATATTATAATAACAACTCGATGATGTTGGATTTTAAAACGAATTTTAAAAAAAAATCAAAATATTTTGAATCCATTTTTTTATACATACAATACATGCCATTCGTGCATCTATTTATTAATTAATTGTAAAAGAAAGCATCAATAAATTTTATTTTTTTGCTAGTAAACATAAATATATACTTACTTGAATTCATGATTTAATGATGTTTCTGTTAAAATTTGTAAGTTTGTAAATTTGCAATGGCAAAGAATTGTGAGAAAAAAAAAGTCTTGTTCGACGTTACATATACAATATTTTAATGTGGGGTGATTTCTAGCAAAATTATGGTTAGGAATATAATAAAATTTTTTGAGTAACTTTTCCCATCAATTATAATCCTTATTGTTATAATGTTATGCAAACTATTACTAAAAACATGGAATCCCGAATACGTGATCATCGAAATATTGTGATACTATAACGAAATTATTTATGATCGATCTTACGATTGGATAATAGATGAAATAATATTAAATCATAGCGCAGAGGTTGCGTGCTAACCAAATATGAAGTTTCTCTAACTACAGTCATTCTTTGTTGTCACATGTACGTTACACCGACTATTTATATATTGTTTAAATCAGTTACAGAATTAATTAGAAATTTTTTACAAATGAAATGGGTTTAGAATATAACACACATATATGTATAATAATTAACATCTTTAGAGGCAGTTAGTATATCAAGTTATTTTTAATGACAAAATCAAAATTTTAACAATTATTCTTGACAACTATCAACGTCATGAAATAAAGAGCCAATGGAGGATCCCGATGAATTTGTCAAAATTGTACTTTGTTAAAGAAAAAGGACTATACTTGTCTAGCTTAGTTACTTCAGCATCAACTATAGATACTTTATCAAATTTCAGAGAAAAGAAAAAATAGTAAAAAGTCATAAAGAAATATTGCTGGAATATTTAATAAATAAGGTATGGTTGTAATAGATTAATGTTTTATAAATAGTTAAATTCACGTTTCAATGAATTTTATATGTTTTTATATGTGAAGCAAAAATTTTGTAATGCGAATTCTTTAGATTTCACACTATATCCTGATCACGTTTTTGGTGGATGGTCCTTCTTAGCTGTTACTCCCTATTCAAGTCAGGTACGTTTCCCAAGCCTCGCTAAATAAAATTTATCACCAAAAGAAAAGAAAGAAAACAAAAATAATAATAATAAAAATATAAAATAAGAGGAAATTAATTATATGAATTCGTTATTAGAGATCATTACGAAAAATATAAAATTCGAAGAAAGACAAGGACAAGGATAAGGACAAAGACAGTTTGTTATTTATTAAATGATGATGTAAATTGATGTTATGATGATTATTATGATGTAAATTATTAATGATGTGATGTTAAGAAAATTAAAACGTTATTTTATTTGTACGCGTTAAAGGTTCAATTATCTAGTTCTCTAAACTTTTGATTTGTTCTAATTAAATGTATTCCTTGACATTGTTTGAACCTTCTGTATAGAATTGTTTTCAAGTTATTTCTAAAATGAGCAAGTCATTTAAATTCCTTCGTTTAAAGGTCCGTTACAATTGTTTATCAAATTGGACTGGTTTTCCGTGTTTTCTCGTAAATCATTTCCGATTTATTGATTTTCGTGATCCATAAATCACTATTTTACAATACTGATACTTTATTAATAATGTGGATGGGTTAGTTCTGTAAGAAGATGATTTATTTATTATCAGAATTAAATACATGTTTTTGAAATACTAATTATTTGATTGATTTCTAAAAGACATTCTACTAGATAATGTTTCTTTGTGTGATTTTGTATGGTAAAGCATAGTTGATTGACGATCCGTCTATGAATCAGTGAGTATTATTATTACATTGGGAAAACATTAATTAAATATTAAAATTTATTATTGATAAAAATCTTGTTAAATTTAATTTTTTTTTTACCAGACCGAAGCAAATGTGCAGCCTAGAGCTTCTTTACCAGACTTTGCAGTTCTTTCCGCAACCATAACTGTGATAGTGTATGGTTTAGGCAAAACGGCTGATACGTAAACTTTCCCAATTTCGCCACTAATGTAGGTTGCTGGACAACCATTTATCATACAGAGTTTACCTACTAATTTTCCATTTTTATCACAAAACATAACGCCAAAATCGGCATTTGAAGTAGCCTTTGATAGTTCTCCGGAACCTTGAAAGTACTCGAACAAGATGATCAGGCGAAATCGTTACAGTGAGTAGGTTCGTAGGGGGATATGGGTCTGCATCACATGGCTCAAAAGTAGTAGCTCTTTTATGCAGAATAGCATTGACAATTGAAAGAATAGCCAATAAAGTGAATGCAAAAATCGGTCTTTTTCATATTTTTTTTTTTAGAATATATCTGGTTAGGTTAAATAACTGTCTTTTAAAAAAAAACGCCCAACCAGTCTTGAGTAACAATTTGAAACACAAATCCTTGCTGATCGGTAAGGTGTTAAGTTTAATTATACAAAATCACGAAAACTATGCAATTATTATTACTTTAATATTTAACTATAAAAAAAAATATATTTTATTTAAAAGCGATCAACACAACTATGTAATTAAATTTCTTTTAAATAATGAACAATTCTTATGCCTGCTCATTATGAATCAGCTGTTATTCTTTCAATAAACTATAACAATAATAATAATAGAGTAATAATAGAGTTAATAACACTAAAGCAAATATATGATAGTTACGATGACAATAAATTATAATTACAAAGATTTCAATAGGTAGTAAATCAATTTAGTTGTGTTACACCATTCTCTTGCATTTGGCCAATAATGTGAATGTGGTGGTGGCTTCATTTCACCTACTGAAACAAATATTTACAATTAAAGTGGGACGTTTTGTTATTTTAAATATTGTTGGTTTCCAAAACTAGAACATTGCGAAAGTCAAAAGGTTTCGCCACAAGTCGAAATTAGTTTTGATGTTTGACTATTGACTTTTGATTTAATTTTGACAAAAACTTTTAACTTAGTTTTGACTTTCGCCTCTTTGAAATAGTTTTGGCGACCAACATTAATTTTAAATTAAAAACCGATTCAAGATTCTGGCCAAAATACATATCGATTCCTTTCCATTTATGTATATATCACGAATTGCGAATTAAGAATGATCTACATTTTAACCTATTTTAACCAATACATAATTTTTTTTTAACAATGCAGTGCTGTTACACTATTTATTATATATTATTATCGTTATTATACAAATATTTAGTTCTATTTAACTAACATGTAACTACCCCGTAATAATTTATATTCGTTTAGGTCGACCGTTCATCGCCTGTTCTTCCAATTAGTCTGATTATTGATTTCAATATTCAGTTTAAGCTTCGCACTAATTTTCTTTAGGAACAAACTGACAAAATGTCAGTACTGCTACTACCACTACAAAAGTCTCTCCAATTGTTACCATATTTTATACCATTCAATATCCAACTACACCATAATTCTCCACCATTATTATTATTATTATTATAATTATTTTTTATGGTATTGTTATTATTGTTGTTCTTGTTACTGTATTTGTTCTTTTGAATTTTATTATCTTTTTCTTCTTTTTTTTTTCTTTTCTTTAGCACATATACTTTTTTTTCTTCTTGTTTAATTGTTAGTTCACATCTTTTTAACCAAATTTCTTTGTGTATTTTTTTGACCATATTATATATACATTATGTCACAAATTATACTGCTTGTTTTTCTATCACTTTTTGTAATGTTTGATATAGTATCTTTAAGATTTTGTGGTATGATTCCTTTTATTAAATCAATGAATGTTATTTTATCTTTTTTTTTTCTAGTGTCCACATATTTTTAAATTCTTTACTTTGCAAGTTGTTTACCTTGTTTGATTTATCATTATTATCATTGTTGCTTTTTATATTACTAATTTCTTTATTGAAATGATTTTGGGTTTCTTCAATTATTTTTTTCATCCATCATATGCCTTACTTAGGTCTTGGAATAATATCCAAGCTTCCTTTTTATTTTCTTTGGCATCTTCCAATGTTGATTTTAGGTTCAAATGTTGAGCCTCTGGGAACACCTGCAAAATTATTACCTTTAAGAATATCATATCTAGCAAAAATTCTTGAGAGTCTATCTGTGATTATTTTAACCAAGGCTTTTCTTAAAGTTTCAAGTAATGCTATTGGTCTTGTATTGTTTATTTGACATTCCCATTCTTTTTGTTTAGGTATGGATACACATATGCTTCTTGCCATTGGTTTGGTATGTCTCCAATTTTCATACAGAAACAAATTAGTCTCCACATAATTTTTTGAACCTTGTTTCCAGCATGCTTAATCATTTTGTTGCTAATTTGTGATGGGCCACATGCTTTGTCATTTGGTAACTGTTTTATTATCATCTTCCATTCTTCAAATGATGGTTCCTTATTTTATTTCTGTTTTAGGTTTATATTGGGTTTCCCATCTTTCAGTAAGTCAATGTTTTTGTGTTTATCCCCTGTGATATTTTGAAAATGAGCAATAACCTCTATTTTTATTTTTTCATTTTTTTTAGTTTATTATATTATAATATTAATCTGTTAGATTTATGTTCTTCTTGAGGGTATATAGTTTTTGTTGGGATGTATTGTTTAGCTGATCTAATTATTGTATTTCTGATTTTTTTCCCAAAGATCATTTATTATTTTTTTGTTAATGTTTTTTTTTTTTTTTTTTTGAATTCATCTAACTTAAGTTCTTTATATATTTCATTTGTTTTTTTTGCAAAAATCTTTCCATTTTATTTCATTCATTGCTGAGCAGATGAAAAATGCTTTTTTTCATTTTTTTTCTTTTCACATCTGCTTGTTTGACATTTTTAAATAAGTTATCTCAATTCATTTTTAAATTATTTAATATCTAATTTTTGCCATATCTTTGATTGTAGACAAACTAAGACATTGTCATCTTTTTCCATACAAAAATCCTAGTGCAGAAAATGCTCTTTCACAAGCAGCATTATGAGGAGTTATTGAGAAAATTTTAATTGCTAAACCCTTTATATATTCACTTGAGTCATCAATAACTTGCCACCAAGTTCTTGGTATAAGAAGAAGAATATTGAATAGAAAAAAACACCTTCTAAACATTTAAAGTTTGCCATTTGACCTATTAATTCTGCTACTTTACCATCAGAGCAATTTTTTTTAATCCATTATTTCAAAAGATTTTCCCTGCATGTTTAGTATTTTAAACCAATTCCTAAACAAAAATAAGACATCAATAATTTTTATATATATTAAATTTTTTTTTTATAATAAAAAAAAATGTTAAATACCTACCATGGTATAATGGATGAAGAAAATATGCAATCAAATATAAATATGTGGGCTTTTCAAAATATCCTCATCTATTATGATGACTTTAATACAATGTTCCCTAAATTTAATTAATCTATGTTCAGATGGAATTTCGTTGATACTGACTGCAAGTTTCACAAGTTGGATGAAACAATGTGCAAGGTTAACATTTGTTCCTTCCAAATTGAGAATGCTTTTTGTAGTGACAACAATACAGAAGTTACCAGCCCAATATCATGAAAGAAACCTCACAGATAACGAATATGGTTCACCTTATCATTTGTAAGTAAACCTTTATTTAAATTGAAAATTTTATTAACATACATATAATCAATCTTGCAGGTAACAAAATAAAAAATAAATGAAAAAGGAATTAATGTTTGGGTTGGAGGATGGAGATTATGGTCTCAAACATCAAAGTCCATCTAGTCTAGATTGTTGTCTATCATGATATTCGATATTCATAAAACGATCACGAATATCATGAATATCATCATATTATACAATACAAATAAATATTCAAACAGTTTAACTAAATACATAATCTCATTTTAAGAAAATAATGGAAACAAAATCAGTTGACCAGGATAATTTCTTTATATCAAAAAAAAAAAAAAAGCCAACGTGTCTTTTTTGAGAGTGTAAAAATACCTAGTTGTTACTAAAAAAACAAAATTGATTTCTTCTTTATTGTCAAAAAAAAAAAAAGCCAACATGTCTCTTTGAAAGCGTAAAGATACTTGGTCACTACTAAAAAAACCGAAATTGATTTTTTTATTTCAAAAAAAAAAGTCAACATGTCATTTTTGATACTTGATTGCTACAGAATTGATTTCTTCGTAGATCATCTAATTAAATATTTTTTGTTTCTTCATAATAACCAGCTGGTAAATGTTATAAAATAACTTTTACAACACATTTTATCAAAACTTTATCTAATTAAATAAATTTATTTTTTGTGTTTTATAATGACTAACAATTGACAAAAAAGAAAGCCAACATGCCTTTTGAAAATGTAAAGATACTTGGTCGCTACTAAAAAAACAAGATAATTCATAATATAGTTGTTTCTTTATTGTCAAAAAGTCTTTTGAAAATCTAAAGATAAAATGTTAATTAATCGAAATAACAAACACATAGATTCTTAACAAAGTAGAGTAGTAGTAGATAATTGCATAAACAATTTCCTTATTTTTCTTAAATGTAAAATAAGCAAATTTTTTGAACATGCATGCATGCAATATAAAAAAAACGTTTTCCTATTAATATGTATTTTCCTTTTTAGTAAGATAACTATGATATGATATTCGGATGATGTCAAATTCCTTTTGACTCAAAAAATAACTGATGGCGTATTTTTTGTCATTTCTTATTTGTAACTTAAAATGATTTCTCACTTTAAATAATAATAATAATAATAATGCAAGTAGGTAGATCTTCATGAAATATTGGGTGTGTGTATGCCCTAATTAAATAACAAAACCTTTTTTAAAAATAAAAATTCTATCAGAGTCTTCAATTAAAGAGATACAAACATGAAACCAAGGGAGATTATAACAAACATATTAAACTTTTAGACTATAGAGAGTTATATATTCTAAAGGAATTGAAAAAAGATTGCTAAAAGAAAAACTTTAAATATAACCAAATAAGACAGGGAAAAAATTATTATAGAAGTAAAACTATAAAAAGTTTGTTTAATTTTATTACGAAAAAAAAAAGTTGTCATGGTTCAAAGTTATTTGATTTATTATTAAATTTTTACCATAAAAAATTTTACATTGTAACTGATAAATTAATAATTCATGTTTTCAAAAAAAAAAAAAAATTGTCAACATTTACATCTGTTGGAATATATTATATAAAGATATATATACTAAAAAATCCCCACATAATAATTTGCTGTGTTGATGTAACTATAGATGGGTGTCTAAACTAAATTATTTAGACAATGTCTAAAATATAGATTAATTTAAACATTTAGGCAATTGACCATGATTTGTCTAAAATGTTGTTGAAATTGGATAATTTACTGAACTTTGTGTATATCCACGTGACTTTTAGTTGTATTTAAAGCAAATCGTTTAATTTAGACATTTATTTGTCTAAATACTATTTTGACTTTAGACAACCCCAAAAACAATTTATATGATCAAGCAGCCATTGAAATATGTTGTTATTTTTAGAATGAATAGTAAGAATGAAATATTTTTTGTGTATTTGTATATACATTATGTGTAACTTGGTTTTGATTTGAGTTAATCAGGAGAAAGTAATTTTGAGTTTTTCTGGGGAATGAGTTGATTTCTTAAAAAAATTTTTTCTTTTGATATTTTGATTGATTGATTGTACTTACCTTCCTTAATTGTACTTACATGCAGCCATAATAACAAAACACCTTTTATATTTACACACAATAGGAAAATTATAACCAATGAACAATAAGTTGATGGTAATGACGATATATGGGATCCACATGCACGGATATTGTTATTATCATTTTGGAAAATCAATTTCTTTTATTTTCGAGCCAGCGCAGCAAAAAAGAAAAAAATGCCTCATTACCCATTTATTTTAATTTCATCCTTCCCCACCAATTCAGTTTATTAAATTCGAGCAACAAAATCTATTAGTATTAGTATTAGAAGATTCGTGATTCCGTTACTGCAAGTGCATCAAAATTAGTAGGAGAAATAAATATATCGAAAAAAAAGAGAAAAACATTACTATTACTATTACTGTTTACTGTTACACAAATACGACTTTTTGAAATAATTTTCTTATCAACTATTTAACAATAACAATGGCCGTAACAATTCTTTGAAATCAATACATACCTTAAACAATACTAGCATGCCTCTAAAGTCACGTGCCCACATAATTTTTATTTATTTTTTACCATTAAAGCCGAAGGCGTTTGTACAGCCACTTTTCTTCGAATTAACGGGTCCTTCAAAATCCTGAAAATCAACACCTGTTTGGTTAAAAAAAATTTTGGGTAATTCAAATAGAAATGGTTTCAAAAATCCAAAAAAAAAAATTTTTGGGTCTACGGATTAAAAGGTAAAAAGACTACGGTTTAACGAGATAATTTCACATACAGTATCTACATATAATTGGGCTTTAGGTTTTTAAAGAAGTGCATTTTAACGGGATTAAGGTTTAACAGGTTTGACTATGCATCTTTTATTTATTATCATGTCCAATTTAATTCAATAAATGAAACTTAAAATACAATTTATTAATTATTATAGTTTTTTATATAAGGATGGCAAAAAAATTTATTTATTTATAAAAATTAAAATGTCTGAAAAAATTTCCGTAAATTATTACATAAATAACCACAACGTCAATAATGGTAAAATTAAATGCGAAGATGATATAACAATTAGTAATAACGGCAAAAGTAAAGGCGATTATAATAACAATCACAACAACACAGAATTCAGGTAAAGCATTAATCATTATTTTCATCATTGTTCGGAAGTTTAAGGCGTTCTCAGTTTTAATTAATTGAATCTCAATCCTAATTTAAATCAGCGAAAAAAAGATTGATGATGATGATGATGATGATGATGATGATGATGATGATGATGATGATGATGATGACGGCGACGACAGTAATAACGATGGTGAAGATGTTGAAGTGGAAAAAGTAAACCCAGAAGTTTTGATTAATTAAAGTTGCATTTATTTATTTTTTTTTTTTTTTATTAATAATAATTCCTTGGTAATATATATAGGCTGAACCAGAAGATTTAGTGAGAACACCATTACAAAACAAATTTCATTATTTCTTTGAAGAACCAAGATCCACATTGGCCATATTCTTCTCAATTTTATCAGTAGCCAGTGTGGTAGTGACAGTTGTTGCAATATGTGTTCAATCTTATACAACAATACCTGACTTTGATCCCAGATGGTAAATTATGACAAATATTATTGATGATTATTTATTTGGAATTTTAATTTAATTTGTTATTAATTGGTGCTAGGTGGGTTCCGATAGATTTAGCAATCGCGTTGGTATTCACATTAGAATATTTTGGAAGACTTTATGCATCATTGAATAAATTTAAATTTCTATATAGTAAGTTATATTTTACCATTATAATTGATTAATCACTATTATTTTTATTTATTTACTAATACTAATATTAACAATAATATTATTTTTATGATAGGACCATCAAATGTAGTTGACTTCTTGTCCGTTTTGCCATTTTATCTACAATATATAAACATACTAGGAAGTCGAGCTGAAGTAAATTTCTGTTCTATTTTAAAAAGGGATAACTTTTGAAAAAGTGATGAAATAGTAACCAAGTTCTTTTTTTTTTTTTTGATTTTACAGACATTTTTAAGAGTTCTCAGAATTATTAGATTATTGAAAATACTACGAATAATTCATGCAACAAGAGTTTCAATTGGAATTGGTGTAAATATTCTTTATTTTTCTTTTCTCATGCAATATAAATACGAATGATAAAATATAAATCATAAGGTATTTTTTATATTTAGATAACGGCCAAAGTATTCAGAAAATCAATGCATCAAATACTTATGGTTTCATTGTATTTATTGATAGCTCTACTTGCATCATCAACAATTTTGTATGATTTTGAGCATGGAGAGCTCCTCGAACCGACTACTTTGACATGGTATCGTTACAATGGAAATGATATGGAAATAAGTCCATTCCAGTCAATAATAGGTACCTTTTGGTGGTCAATAGCCACATTGACCACAACCGGCTACGGAGATGCAGTACCTATCACTGCACCAGGCAGAATTGTAGCTGGAGTAACTATGATTTGTGGTATATTGGTGATAGCATTACTAACATCTATCATCGGATCAAATTTCGTATCAGAATGGGAGAATCATAAAAGTGCCAAACTTAAGCAAAGACCAATCGTTGACATTTTAAAAGGAGCTGAAATTAGTAAAAAAAAAAAGATACGTATGTTACAAAAACAAAACGGAATAATGCTAGAAACAATAATAGAAATTCAAGATAAATTGCTTGATTTAAATCCATCGTACCCGAAATGTAAAAACATTCGTGCCAAATATTTTGAGGCAATGAAAAGAATATCTGAATTGGAGACTGAATTAGAAAAATGGAAAAAAACCACTCATGATAATAATAATGTTAGTTACGATTCAGAAAATTCAATAAAGAATAATAATAATGACAATGATGTTAATTTTAGTAACAATTCAGTGACAAAAGATTCAGATCAGAATAAAAATTCAAATGAAGAAGTTAAATTAGAAATTCATCTATAATAAATAAATAAATTGCTATTATTACAAAAAGGACAGATAAATTTTTTGGCTAATTGCGAGGATCCCCAACATAAATAGACTATTAACTCTTAATAATAAGATCATCATATTTACAGTTAAGGTTGCTTCTAAAACTTCCAAAGTTCTTAATAAATCAAAAACTATAATAAACAAATTAGTATGTAACTTGCCAAGACTTTGACAAATTGATTTCTTGGCAAGTATGGCACGCTATGTTATACTTACGAAATTGTTTTATTTTTGCCAATTTTAATTGAACTTTGGCATTACTTTCACAAATTGAGCAGTTGCTTGAATACTTGTAACTATGATGATGATGTTGATGATGGCGACGACGACAATGTTCTTTTTTTATTATTATTATCATTACCTATATTGCTATCAACAATACTAGAAATGTTATTGTTATTGTTTTCGCTGTTAAAGTTGGTAGTTTCTGGAAAGTAACTTGTTAATATCGATGAAGATATATTTTGTAAAGACATTGGTGACGGAGGATTTTGGCGAGGAAAAAAATTGTAAAAAAATCTTCTTTGTGATGAATTATTTTATTTACGTATATAATCAAGCGATAAATTGTGATCAATGTTTAAAAATTAGGCTTTAAATTTTTCCAGTTTCAACAATTTTACTTTTTTTTTTTTTTTTTTTTAAAAAAAAAACATGTCACAAGCAAAAAAAAATAACAAAGGGATATTATAGACTTGGGTAAGTATTATGTTTACAACGATTTAATGACTATTTAAATATCTTTAATTATTATTCATTATCATGGACTTTTGTTTTTTATTTAATGCGAGAGCTCAATGATGAAATTTATGACAAAGTCAATAATGTTTTTGGTTCCATTCAATTTACTCAAAGAAAATAAATATCACGCTTTACAAATATACCACTTGAAATCCTCATTAGTGTTATCACAAATCCTGATCGACAAACGCGATGAAAATCAATCAATTCAAGGTTAACATATTTCAATGGATTACAACAACCTCCACCACCAAGCTGGAATGAACTACCTACAATAATAAGATTTTTCTTGCTTCACCTCAAGCCTGTTTGTTTTGTGGCATTATTGAATCCATTGGCGGTTCAATGTTATTATAATTGAGAAGCAATTATATTAATATTAATTAATTATATTTATTTATTTATTTATTTATTTATCTAAATTTTTAGACCTAGGCCTGTCTGTCTATTAGAGGTAGTAATTATTATGACGAATTACCTTATTCATCTCAGAAATATGAAAATAGGCGACAATTCTGGCAAAAGGATGTCAATGAAAGGCTTTCTTATCTTAGACAATATGGAATATCTTCTATCAATGCTGACAAAGAAAGTCAAGAAAGTATGCGAAAAATTCATAAAGAACGCGCAGAACATAACAAATAAATAAAGAGACGAGCTTGTATATGCAAAAAGCAAACAGATTTATCTAAAAAACAAATAGACATACTTGTTTGGGTAAATTAACATTGGGCAACAACGCTCAAGATATTGACAATCATTTCATTTCTTCAAAAGAGCGATATCCCGAGCTTTCCCAACCTCCTTCAAAAGATTATTTTGAAAATGCAAAACATCAGATAATCTGCGAGGCCGAAAGGCCATATCGTCAAAAAATCATATGTTGGAGAGATGGCCACGCATATTGATATTGAAAAATGAAAGAACAAATTTGCAAATTATCATATCCACCAAAACAACCCATACGCTAAATATAATAATGAATTTTTCGAATCAAACGTGATTCCAACATTATTAGTAAAGAATTTGAACCTTTATTCCCGTTTAATGATTATTGCTATTTCATTTGAAGAATCAGAATTAGAAAATGATGATGATGATGATGATAACAACAATAATAATTCTCATTTATTAATTGTTTTAGAAAATTGTTTGATAATTTATTAGTTTATTTGAAAGGGCAAGCAAGCAAGACCTTTTACAATAAATATATTAATACATACATACATATATATATATAATCAAAATCTACAAAAACATTATATTCATAAATAATTATTATAATAAAACAATTAACAAATCTATCACCATTGTTAACACTATCAAATTATCTAATAAATATAACTTTATCACTATTAAATTTTAATTTTTCAATTAGACTACTTTCAACGGATTCCATCATTATTGGTGGTCCACAAACAACAACTCTTAATTGTATTGATTCATCATGTGATATGTGATGAATATAATTTTTGTTGTTGTTGTTATTATCATCATTATTTTCAATATCATCATAATTTGATAAAATTTGTCCAAGTTTTGAAACCCCATTGCTAGCGTAACCACCATTATTATAAATAATATTATTGTCGTCATAAATTATACCACGACCAAAAGCCATTTCATTATGATTTTCAATTGGATGACAACTTTTCATCCACTTGATTAAAGTCCTTTCATTAATATGTCCAGTAAATCCTTCCCATTTTGGTGGCGGCCTGGTCAATATGTAAGAGACTTTGAATCTGTCTTTATTATTGGTTGCAACCATTTCTAAATAATCTGAATTGAACACGTCGGGTAATGTATTATTTGCAAATAATAAAAATAACTTGAATGGTTTTGATATTGCTTCATCAAAATGATGATTGATCTATGATGGAATGAAAATGGAGAGTGTGAAGCGTGAAGTGTGGAAGGGAAGAGAAGATAACATATTATTATTATGTTTTATATTTTTTTTTTTTCATTTTTAAAATTATTTTTATAAGAGAGAAGGGAAAAAAACTTACCAATTGTAACATTGGAGTTAACCCAGTACCACCACAAATCATAAATAACACATCCCAACATCCATCTTGTGATAAAGGGTTTAATAAAATGTTTTTTGTTAGTGGCGGTGACGAAAGTGATGGAGAGGTCAAAGGAAATGATGTTAATGGAGGTGAATCTTTTTTAAAAATTTTTGGTGAAAGTAAAGTTGCTGATGTTAACGGTGCTGATGATGGATCACGTGTACTTATATCAAATGGACCTCTAACTTTTATCTCAAATCCAATTAATTGTTTGTCCTAAGAATTGATTAATATTAACATATTTTATATATATACATGCAAACATCTATATATTACCCACATCGCCAAAACATGTATGCTTACCAAATGTCTAGACATTAAACCATTTTCGTAAATTTTGACAATAATAGAAAATGATTTATTACTATTTTCCTGACCTTGACCTTTCTCTTGCAATGTTGTGTAAGGTCTAATAATAACTTGACCTTTTGTATGAGTCATGAACTCCATATAATCCCCAGGTTGAAAATTAGGTAATGGTCGATCATCTGGGTTAATGGTCTGGAAAGTAAACCTACGAACAGGATATCTTTTAACATCCGGTTTAATATTAAGTGTTTCTTTTCGAACAAGAATATAACGTCGAAAAATATTTGGATTACATGTATTGTCATAGATTTTTGTATTATCATATGATATATCATTGTTGTTATATTGAGAAGATGGTAAGAACGTTAATTGATTATTACGAAGATGATCATCCTTTAATAATTTTGCAATTGCCATTGTAGCTAATTTTGTTGCGGCAAATTTACTATGACTATGAACCGCTACACGTGATATTTTATTATTAAAAGAAGTTTTTGAATTGATTTGATCAACTTTTACTGCAAGCGAAATTGGTCTGTGTAATTTTTTTTGAATATTTTGAATGTTACGTTTCTTTAAACTGCCACTATTATTATTATTATAATTATCTCCTATCTCACTAAGATTATTACTATTCTCATCTCCCCCATCTTTACCATCTTCAACAAAATCAGCATCGTCACAATTTTCATATTTATCAGTTGTAGCGACTTTAGCTCGACTATACAATAATTTCTCCGCGTCATTATTACTTTGTATTATTAAATTTTTATTAATAGGCTTTTGTATTGGTTGTGTTTGTTGTATTTTTGATTTATCATGAAAAAAATCTTGCGTTATATCAGTTCCAATAACACGTTTTAATATTTTAGCGCCACCAGGATGATTACTTATCCATTTTCTAATATCAAAAACTATTCCTTCTGCTACTACCAAATGGGCACCACTGGCTACCCTTTGATTCACATCCTGATTTAAATAAATTAGAAGGAGGAGAGAGAAAGAAATAATGTTAATGATAATAATACACAACAATTAGCTAATTAATTAAATCCACTCTCGTCAATAATAAAAAACCCAATTATTTATAACATACATCCCAAGTCATGTCAGGCAATTTATTATAATCATTAATTAATGATTCAATACGATGTTGATTATGCTCGGGATCAGAATTGTTCCAAAAGAAAACACCATTTCGATAATTGTACCAATATTCTCCACAAATAAATCCAATACATAATAATCCTATCCATATCAAATAAATTATTTGCCATATACTAAATCTAACACCATTATACGCATCTGAATATGTCTGGTATTGCGTAATTCCATAATATATGTTCACCCTTTTTTTTTTTTTTTTGTAATATAAGAAAAATTAATAAATAAAATAAGTAATTTATTATATATAATACACGATAGTAATATGTTTTCTAGTTACCATGCAAACGCTATTAGAGCACTTCCTAATACAAAATGAAACGCTCTAATTCCTTTCATGATTCCTTTATTTGCCGATTCAAGTCTAGCAAGTCCCCATAATGAAAGAAATCCTAGACCAATTTGAATAAATACTAACGTATATATTGAAACTCCAATCCTGTCAAAAAAAGTTTTTTATGAAATATATTTCATTTTAACATATAAAAACACTCTGAAAAATTACCCATCCCCATAAAAACTAAAGCAATTATACATCCAATACATACACTCCATGAATAGTTCGTCCTTTAACATCAGCAGTAGCAATAGCAGCAGCACCAAATGTCGAGACAGAAACACCACCAACAATTTGCAGATTACGATGTTGAAACAAATATTTGTCAGTATGTTTCCAATACCTGACTATGAAAACGGAGATTGGAAATAATATAGCCCATATTAAAAACATTGCTAAACCGTGTAATAACCTGGTAAAATGATTTTTTGATTCGGATTGTTGTAAAATTGTTGCAGTAAAAAAATTTACTTTCATACTTCCACGGTTGCCACCATGATATGATATTACATTACTACCAGGATTCCATGCATAAATCACTGCAAAATAAAAAATTTTTTTTGTTCGTTTGTAAAATATATAATTGTTTTCCACAAAATCAAAGAAAATAAATAAGATTATATACTTGTGGTCAATTGGTCGTTAATTGGTTTAGTATCGGAAGCAATTAAAGGACGTCTAAGCTCAACTTGAGTAGTAAAATTTACAAACTTCTGATTCAACACTTCAACATATTGATTATTAACATCTTTCATAGGTGGTTGGTAGCCAGCACTTTTGTAATTCCCAACTTCGACATTCTGACCATCATCACTATTACGCAAAACAATGAAATCTGCACCAAGCATTCCGTTATCGATTGAATTAAATCCAAGCCCAAACCAAGAATTGACACTTAACATTGTCAATAAGAGTTGGAGATGACCAGTATTACCATCTCCAACGATCTTCCACCTAATCTCATAAACATCTGATAATCGTAAATAGTTTGATGAAGGGTAGTCAGGAGCATTACTGTCAAATATGTTTGTTGTACCAAATGTGACACTTGGTTGTACAAACCATATGTTCGTTGGTAGAGTGAATTGTGGAACGTTTCTGGTAATAATATCACGCCACGTTATATTATTTATTTGATTAATCTCATCCAATGACCAGCCTGATCCAGGTGATTCATAATAAAATCTATCTGAATCACGTATTGCTGTAAATTGATCAATCATGGATTTACGTATAAGAGGGCCGAGATTTGAACCTGGAAGATGATCTTCAGCAAGAGCACCAACCCAAGCTTCAACGTTATTAATGCTAGTATAAAGTTGCTTTAGACGAGTTTGTATTACGGTATTATTTGTTATATCAGACCAATCGGTTGCTGGTTTAAAATTATATGCAGTTCTGATTTCATTATATAATGGAATTCCACGATCACGGCTACGAACACCGTCAAGGCTTTTTGAGAGGCGAGGGAAATTGAATGTACGAGAATGAGAGCAGTTTAATTGGTGTTAATCAAAAGAGATTGTAATTTAATTAGATAGATTATTGTTGTTGTTGTTGTTACCTGGCAATATCGGCAATGTCGTCATTACTAAATTTATAATTACGCATCATATCAGAGTAGAAAGGATCAACTTGTTCTTGTCTATCGATTAATATTAATTAATAAATTATAAATAGTTATTATTATTATCACTATCATTATCATTTCCTTAATTCAAATTTTAAAATCTTGAAAGAAAACCTTTGTGAAGAGATGGACAAAGCCAATGTTGGTACATCAAAATTTTCCAATAAACCAGGTCTTGAAAGATCATTCAAAGTCAATGTTCTGTAATAAATATTAATTTGATGAAAAAATAGTCTCTTGTTTAATAATAAAAAATTAATTTGATTTAATGATTACACTTACAACATCACTTGTCCATTATTATCAATAATAGGATATTCATTGCTGTATAAATAATGTTAATATCAATCAAGTAATAATATATACAAGATTATCTTTAAATTATTAAACAATTAATTACCTAACTTCAGAATGTCCATAACGCATTGTAACGGTCGAAAAAAATGTCTAATAAAGAAAGGATAAAATGAATGAGGGAATGAATAGATGGGGATGCATGGATTTTAAATTTTTATTTATTTTACTGACATCAACCCCGGGGGTTATATTTGGATTATATCCAGTAGGTGGTAATAACGGGACTCCGACTACAACACTAACTGTTATTATTATTATTGAATGAAGAAAGATAAGATTCATAGAATTAATCCAAAGATGGTGAAAATAATGTCAACATATATGTAATTTCTAATTATCAATATATTTACAATATTCTTTAAAAGTGATTTTTTGTACTAGAGCGATTATCCATCTTCTTGCTTCCTGGAAATACATATCATCATTCCACTGTTCACCATTTTGTAGATATAAATTATCACATCTTTGATTATGTTCTCTCAGCAATATCGTTTGAATCATATCAGTAAACACATGACTAGCTCTAGAAGTAATTCCAAGTATGTATTTTCCATCAACTGGGCCTACATTACACAAATAAATAATAATTTATTAACGGAGCTTTTTGATTTTAAAATTTCTTGCAATAATCATTCATTACTTTTAGGTGGATAGCCAAGTTTTTTATCTCCAGAACCAGAGGTTATTAACTTCATTTTTCCTCGATTTCCAAGATCTCTCAATTCTGTCCTGAGTCTTGTCTCGTTTGTCCCGTATAAAAATGAAGCATCAATAAATGATGTTGCACCATTTACACCTTGACGATTCAAAAGATCGGATCTGGTGAACGGTAATGATGTCTGTGTTGTTGTCATGTGAACATTGTGATAATTGTGAGAGGTGATAATAATGAATATATTGAATAATCACAAATACCAATGATTAAAATACCTGATTGATGGAATAATCAGTAATTGGATCAGAAAGGTAAGTTGTGTCGTCACTGGGAATTATAATACCATTGGCGAATGCTTCTCCTGCAGCTTTAGCATTGGCTATATCAAATCCTACCATTTGTCCCCAAAATGTAGCCTTAACGTATTAATAATAAAAAAATAGACTTAGCGGGGGAAGGGGTTTTTTTAAAAAAAAACTTGATAAAATTAAATAATATATTACCATATGAGAAACTTTTCTACTGCTCTTAAACGAGTTTATAATTTCCCAATTAAATTTATCTTGAAATTTAGTTTGATAACCATTATGAATATCGCTTATACATCTTGGTAAAGGATAATCATTAAAAGGTAAAATGTCTGAACATTTAATGGCAGTTCCAACGGGAAGAGGATTATAGTCTCCAGGTGAAGGTATCATTGAATCTTGAATTGAGAAAAAAGATTTCTGAGTGGGAACTTCACGTAGATAAGGTGAACCAGATGAACCAGCTTTTGGATTATTCAAATTATTATTTGTTCCATCAAGCTTTGAATATTCAATAGCTGATATTAGTGAAGAAAGTAAGAAGAAAAAGAAAAGGTTGTTGAATAAAAACTTTTTCATTTTTTAAATTTTTTAACATTTCACATTAAAAAGAAAATTTCAAAAAGGTTTATTTATTTATTTGTTACAAATTACATTTATTTTATAGATGAAAAAAAATGTAAAAGTACAATTGATCATCGAATGTTTATGATAAATAATAAATATTGTTGGATAAATAATAAATATTGTTTGTTGTTGTGAAGGAGTTGTTAATAAAATTGATTCTCTTTTTATAAAAAGTAAACGTAGTGAAGTATTTCTTTTTAATCCACGGGCCAAATTCTAAAGTTCTTTATTTTTTTAAATATAATAATAAAATTAAAATATATTGATATTGGTGAATAATATTTACATTAAATATGGTGCGAGTTATCCATTTACTATAAATTGTTCAATGGACCAAAATTCCAAAAATTGGATATCACAATATTAAAAAAAATTCACACAGGTACACCAAAAAAAATATTGAATCATGTGATCCACATGTTTTGGATTTTATTTATATGCGAATGATCTGATTGGATTTTATTAATGGCAATCCCAGACCAAAACTTGTTTCGAATATTCGTAAAACCAGGGATGATGATGATTTTATGGATTCTGCATAATAATAATATTGCATTTGCCGGATATAATAATAATTAACCAAAATCGTCACATCATTTAACGAGTAATTGATTTCATAAGGTTTATTGGTTGATTATGGCATTATAGATAATAAAAGGTTAATTGAATTTTGCTAATTATGAAAAATTTTTATAACATTCAGGTGTCTCAATGATGGAAAATTATCCTCATATGATTATAATAAATAGTTATTGAAACTAAATAAGTTAATAAATGAATATATATAATATATATGAATAAACAATGAGATGAATGATTGAGAAAATAAATTTGTATAGCCCCGCGCATATTAATAACTTGATAACTGATAAATAAGAATTGTTAATGAGTGATTAAGAAAATATATTTGAATTTTCCCGTATAAATATGATGGAATTCGTTGTGTAACTAGTACAAATTTAGAAACTATCTCCAGGAATTCAAAATTTGATTGGATAATAATTGAGAAAGTAAATTTACGCCTGTGAACAATCAAATTGAAACATTTACTTACTTACTTTACTTACTTACACATAATATGTTTCCATTTTTAGAATCATTGTTTTAACTGGCTCTTTGAATATTTAGGGTAACTCTTAGTGCAGTAAATGCAGCAAACAAGCAAGTGTAAAATACCAACCAACAGACGGTCTTGATGTAAACCAACAAATTTGAACTCCTGGTATATAAATATATTTAATTTTAGGAAAGGCATAGTTTGAAAAACAGATTTTCGCAGATTTTCAACAGATTAAAAAGGCATATGTTTAAAAGTGTTTATTTCAATGATTTTAACGTGTACGTGTGTTTCTATTTATTATATATGAATCATATATGAATTGATCCAACAAGGGGTTCCGATTTTTTGTTATAATTTTTCCTTATACCCAATCACGCAGAACTTTTTTTATGAAATTTATGTAAGCAATTTATTAATGAGAATATCATCCAGTATATATTGATATGGTTTGTAAATAATTTGGTCACATGATCGAATGTCAATTTTAGAAGAATCAAATAATTTTTTAATGCAACATGTTCATACAAAAAAAAGAATTTGAGATTTAATTGATAAGTAATTAATTATAAAAAATATAAAAAACCCATCGTTGAGATTTTACTTAATTCTTCGCCATCAAATTGAATAGTTGCTTCAATGTCGAAGTGAAACTTTATATTCCTATATAATTTCTAACTCGGATAAATTTTCATTAGAAAAAAATTCTAACACAACATAATTAATTGTTTCCAAGTCGGAATTGAAGATTTGTATTCGGAGTAAAACAGATAACAATGAAGTCGACTACTCCGCCTATTTTGCAATCATGATACCATTTTTCACTTAAAACTTTGATGTTATATATAATCTTCTAAAATTTAACAAAAAAAAGTTGTAAATGGTTTGTTTCATTACAGCAGTAAGTTCTGACATCTATTTAATGGTAGATTATAAATCACCACTTTGTCTCCTAGTTGTGCTGTACACTGGAGCAAGTGGGCGATGATTAATAACTAAATTCTTTATATTGATTTACTTGCAGTGCACAATTTGCTTCGGCAAACTTTTGAAACAATCATAATATGAATCCATCTGGTATCACCAGGTTTATTTCTATCTTTCGCTTTCCAAATTAATGTTTCTCCTGAAGGCAAACCCCAAGTAATACTTGATTTATGGTATTCTTCAACCATCAAATACTAAAGTAATGTCTGCTTGGTTTTTATCAGTCAATAATTTATTACGAAGAGAGTTGTTCGAATTGTAACAGCAGAAATCCATCTAGTTAGTTGTTTTCTTCTATCAGGAAGTCTTAGATTTGGATTTAACCATTTAAATAGTGCAATTGTAATATATGAACTTCGGAATTAGTAAGATTACTAGTAGCATAAGCTTAAGTGTTGTTTGTTGAAGTCCTTTTGAACACTCTTTTGAGGGTGTGAATCTGATGAGTTGATATCACAAGATGTTAAAATTTTTAAATTTAATATATTTATTTTATTTAGAGATGGGCAAATAGCGTATAGTTGAACACTATACGACACTATACGATACTTTACGTATAGTGCGTATAGTGCGTATAGTACGTATAGTACGTATAGTAGTGTTGAAATTTGATTGGGTGATTTTCCAATG